AGTCAAGAATCTTCTTAAATATATGATCTTGTAACTAAATTTTTTCCTGTCAAATCCTCATTCCTAAAAATTCAATGTACTCTTTGGAGAGTTCCATCTTCTTTTAGAAATTATAAGGCCATTTTTCAAGAATTCAATAAAAACAATCTAGAGGTGTTTGATATGCTCAGTCTTAGTTTTGCTGAAAATGAGAATATCATCTATGTATATCAAGATAAAATCAAAATATTTTTTGAATATGTGATCCATCTTTTTTTGGAATATAGAAGATGCATTTTTTAACCCAAACGACATAACTTGCCATTCAAAATGTCCTTCGGAACAAGTGAAGGCTATCCATGGAATGGATTCTTTTTCCATTTTGATTTGCTAGAAACTAGACTTACAATAAAACTTGCTGAAAATTTTTGAATTTTGAATGCAATTGATTAGTTGGTTTTTATCTGGTATCCTATATACATCTTCATAAGTGTTATCATTTATAATTTATGACCATCCTAGCTTTTTCTTGTTTAATTTCTACATGATTTCTTACCATAAAGGCTATAGAGGAATGTCTAGAACTTGAATGTTTTATGACTCTTAAGGCTAAAAGTTCTTTAATTTGAACTTCAAATTCTTGCCTCTCCAATGGATTGTGATTCATCTTGCCACAACTAATTCTAAGTTTAGGATTTATTATATCTAATTTTGCTACATATTTATTTCGATCCCAATATTTAATTGAGTCTTCTCCTAACACTTGAGTTTCATTAGCTATTTTGATTAACTCATCTAGGTTTATTTTCTTGTAATTTTTATTTTTTCTTTTGTTTTCTTCTTTTTGTAAATTTGAAAGAGTTTTTTTTCCATATTGACATATATTTTTTCTTCATTACTAATTAAGTCATCAAAAAACTGATAATCCATAAAATCATCAAATATTTCCCAAGTCTATTCTAAGAGATTCGGTATGTAATAAAATTCTAATAGATCATCTAAAATCTTTTCCTCACTACTTAAATAATTACTATTATATTCAAAATGCTTATTTAACCTATTTTGGATTTTTTAGGGTGCTATTTCTTTTGGTTTTTAAAGATTCATGATATATTTATTTGCTGGAGTGTAACAAGTTCATTTTACAAACTATATTCCATCAGAAGAAATTGTCATTTGACCTTGAAAGTGAATGATAAAATTTATGCTAATTATGAAGAGATAATTATTTTGGATATTATATAACCTTTAAAATATGTCAAGTTATAAAAGGTCTTATGCAACTAAACAATCAGTAAGTATTAACTTTTCATAAATTTTATATTTTTGTATTATAATGTGCTATTATGGATTTCTTCACATAAATTTTTTAAAAAATTAATATTATACTTCTTGAAGATTTATTTTAATTTTGAATGTAATTAGTTTTTATCTATTTGTTTTCTCAAACTTCGTCTAAGGAGACATAAGATACTTAACATTGAAGACATGAGAAGTACAAAAATTTGGAAGAAGAAGAATTATTCTTTTATTGGGAAAAAAAGACATTGGTTTTGAATTTTTTAAAGACATTTAAACATGTTTTTCGTTTGCCTATAGAATTTTTTGTCATTTTCTTATGCCCTAATATTGTAAATTATAGTACAATACTTAAATTTATTAAATTTATTCATTTTAAAAATAACCACAATATATATAACATTGTACACTCAAAACACTAGTTAATATTTATATGCATTATTAATGTTTGTACTAAGGTATTAATAAAGTTTGTGTTGAGTTAAATGATGTTAACGTATAATCAAGTATGAGATATGAAAATGGTTGAATGTGAATAATGTAGTTTTGTGGATGAATGTACCATATCACAGTCTCCTTTCCCTTATAATAATAAAGACGGTATCCTTTTTCTTTAGAGTAATAAGGACAATTCACTGGAGATATTAACACAAGTCACCAAAATAGATTTATAGTCCCATATAATTCATTTGGACCGTGATACATTTACCTTCACTGTTTACATCTTCCGTCACACACTTTCATTTTCTATTACTCAATCCGTTAAACTCCAAACACCTGTTTCTTGCTCTCCCTACTTTCCTTTTACCTTCTTCTTCTTTTTTTTTTGAGAGAACCTAGATCGGGTTCTCATTGCTCTCACTGCTTTCCTTTTTCCTTCTTCCTTTTTTTTTTTATTTTATTTGGGAGAACCCACAGGGTTCTTCGAGAACCTAGACCTGGGTTCTCCAGGAGAACCTAGATCGAGTTCTCATTGCTCTCCCTACTTTCCTTTTTCCTTCTTCCTCTTTTATTTTTTTTTTTTTGGGAGAACCCAGTCTGGGTTCTTTGGCTCTCCCTGCTTTCCTTTTTCCTTCTTCCTTTCTTTTTTTTTTTTTGG